AACGCCGTGAGCCCGTCACAGGATTCCTGCAGCTTTATGATCAAACAGCCGCTAAATCCGCGCAAGTTGTCGATTCACCACAATGTTGTTGTATTTAGTCGCCTGTTTCACTGGTTTTTATCTTCATGCACTCACACACACTCAGAGCGTAAATAAGTCAGACTCATCAGACGGTCAGGCTCGTCTGTGTAACCTGCTTGGATTATTACAGGGATGCACCGATACTCAGCATCCCTGGATTACTGCAGTAAATCTCCTCAGATCAAGTTGTGCCACGTGTCATGAATCAGAGATCACATCATATGCAGAGGGATCACTTGCAGACTTTGGTCAATACACAGATGAGAAGACTGATTGTCTCTCGCGTCTGTAATTTAAATTTGAAGCTAAAGCCAAGAGACAGTTTGCTGAGCTCAGCTTAGTGTAAAAGGCCTTTGCCCTCATGACTGTGTTCATTCATCTGGTGCTGATGCTGGGAGTCATTCCATAATGATGTTACCATGGCAACCAAATGAACTGCGTCATTCATTTTCTCCATTCAAACAGAACCTGTGTGGGACTTTTATCATCAGAGAAGTGCGTCAAGACGCTGCCGTTCTGTTCACCTTCATTTACACTTGAAGTCCAGCTGGCTGTAGAGAATCTGGAAGCTTCATCATTTCATGGACAAGAGACAGTGACATCGATAACCTCGTCTAATTATTATTTTATTTTTGCAAAATGTCAAATTGTTCCTTTCGTATGTTTCTGCTCCTCTTTTATAAAATGTTGCCATCTGACGTGTGAACACATGAACTACACGTCGTGTTCATGTCGCTGAGTTAATCCAGCACGTCGGTTTCCAGTGATGAGATTCAGGTCGTTTTGTTTTGTTCATGTGAAGATTCAACTCGTAAATATGGAACCACCGCTGTGTGATCACAGAGGAGGAGGATTCATCTGATCATGTTAATCAGGTTCAATGTTCTGATGTAATAATGACTCAATGAAACTGTTCAATGCAATTTTCTTAAATACGAGAAAATGTGGATTTATTTTCATATTCTGTTGGAGGAAGTGAACTCCTGGAGACAGGGTCTCAAAGCTAATGAGTGTGTGTGTGTGTGTGTGTGTGTGTGTGTGTGTGTGTGTGTGAGTGGAATATGGTCAGTTAGCATACGGAGTTTGGTACCAACTCGTTCGTAGTGTTTAGCCAAAAATTGTATGACTTTGGTTTGTGGACAATCTAGAAACGTATCACTGTATAATGTAAAAGTATATTTATATACTTGTTATTTTATAATGACAGTAGTTTTATATACTTTATTTTTGCCTTTAGTAGATTAATTCTGCTTTTCACCGACATCTTGCTAAGCTAGTGTACGTAGATGTTCGTGTACAATCAGCTGTTAGCATACACTGGATTTATTATTGCATCGTAAACCTAGCATGCTAACTCAAAGATTAACACCGATGACTGTAAACGAAGATGGACGACAAGACAGCTGCACAAAAGTGAAGCCAAAACATGTGTCGCCCCCTGGAGGCAGCAATGTGGGTCATAAACCCCTCCTCCCCCATGTTAGCAGATGGGACATGAACTAAAAAAATGAAAGTGCATATTAAAGTAATGTTTGGATGGTTTCTATCACACTGATGTTCATGTTTCTGATGAGTTTGGTTTTAGGTAGTTATTTGACGTCACCACCACAAGATGGCGGCGTTCGTATCCATGATATTTTGGGTTTTATATTTATGCAGTCAGAGGAAGTGGAGACGTGTCGTCCATCTTTGTTTACAGTCATTGAACAAGCATGTCCAGGTTTACCCAAAGAACTGTGAGTGTTGAAGTCAGTGTTATGACTATGTATGTATTTTTTCCACAGAACTCAAGTTTAAGTAACTGAATTAAAAGAACAACAACAGAATCATTTCATCTGTGAGAATTTAAAATATAGAAATCTGTGTTCAGAATGATTCCTCAGGAGATCTTGAGATTTCCTCTTCAGAACTTTATATTTTTGAGTTTTTCTTTTAAGCAACAATGTGCAGATTCAGACTCGTTGACCCAACGTGTGATAGCTCGTTGTCTTAGCTTCACGAAAACATTCAAACAAGGAATCAGTTCAGTTAATTCAATTCAAATTCTAATAACTCCAAAATCAAAGAATGATTTATAAACAACTCATTCACCAAAAATTCAATTAATCAATAGAATTTCACTTTCAGAGTCCAAATCAAAAAATTAACTGTCGATCACTGAAACAAATGAAATAAGATAATTCATCTTTGAGTCATCTGAGTTCTGATGATGGAACTTCACTCTCCAGAAGAGTTTCAGTAAAGAGACTTAACTTTAGTGGTTGAACCAGGACGGAGAAGATCACGACTCAATCTGTGACACAGAGTTTTGAATCCACTTCATCAGACTCCAGGGATCAGATCTTCTGCCTCTCCGTCCAGGAACATTGTGAGAAACCTCTGAAGGTCCAGAATCTGGTTTCAGGTCCAGAATCTGGTTTCAGGTCCAGAATCTGGTTTCAGGTCCAGGCTTTGTTTGATTCTCCCTCCTCTTTGTCTTACAGGTGTTTCTAATTCATCATCTCCCTGGCTCCTCCTTCTTTGTTCTGCTCAGGTGTAAAGGGTCATTCTGTCTATTTCATTTTCCATTTTCTCCTAAAGGCTGAAAACTGAAATGATGATTCCTTCATGTACACAACAACACATTTATATATGTGTATATATATGTATATGTATATATACATATATATATATATATATATATATATATATGTATATATATCTCACCAGGTGGGGCTGCAGGGGGCGTTAAAATTCCTCCGCTGTCGCTGATTAAACGTTGATCATTTCCGGTGACGTGAACGTTGACTGACACCACGCTGATGTTTACACCATCACTTCAGTCCTGCTCTGTCACCGTTGCTATAGCAACTGGTGTTACTCCAGCAGCTGATGTCTCAGCTCTTGGCCTTGTCACCATGGTGATGATATGTGGAGGACAATGGGACTTAATTCCAGCCGACACTCGTCAGCTGATCAGCAGCAGTGACATTAAAGCACCTGGAGGTCAGATCTTCATCATCTTCATCACCATCACCTCTTCAAACACATCTTCATCTTCATCACCCTCACCATCTTCCTCACCATCACCTTCATCGTCTTCATCATCTTCATCACCTTCATCACTCACATCATCACCCTCATCATCTTCATCATCCTGAGCTTCTCAAGTAGAAACATTAAAATTATTTTTTTAGAATCTTTATAATAAAACTGATCTGAGAATCTGAGCTGCGTCATCACTGACACATGGACTGAAGTGGGGCGCCCTCTGCTGGTGAACACGTGAACCTAAACTGAAACCTTCCTAACCCTGTAATTAACAAACTCAAATATCTGGGATATATTATCTTGTGCCCACGTGACCCCTGAGGTGAGTTCACATCATCACAATGAGATTCTTTATTTTCCTCCATGTTCCTCCTCCAGAGCGACCGGAGCTCAGGTGGAGTTCGGGCGTCTGAAAAGTTAAGAGCTAGTTTTGTTTTTTTGCGACAGAAATAAAATTAAATTGAAAAAGTTCAGAAATCCTCTTAGTCGCTGCAAAGAGGTCAAAGATGAAGAAACAAGAAAAGACGGAACTGAGATTTTGTAACAAATTTATTCCATAAAATATTCTTGAAAATGTAAATGCACGTACAGACGCTCTGGTGAAAGTGGAGAAAAACTTTGTGTTTGTGTACAGTTTGAAAAAGAAATCACTAAAACCTTTAGTTCAAATAAAAGCAGAAAAAACCCCTGAAGCAGAGTCAGTGAATCTACAGTTAACAGACCTGACAGGGTCTCAAATCTAACACATCAGCGTCGCCTGTGAAAACTGAACATAAGAAAAAAGAAACCACGGAGCTGCTTTTAGTTTTGCAGCGTCTCCACTGTCTGAAAAGTAAAACATCCAGAAAGTTATTAAATCTGTGATGGAAGCAGCGTTCATCAGTTCATCACCAGTACTTGTACATAAATCTGTACATGTGCATCATCTTTAAAGTTTTTAGATATTTAAAGTACTGGTCAGATTCTATTTCCCTCATTAATCAGCTTTTTGTGTTTTCATGTATAAAAGTTCCTCATCATCAGTTTCTTCTCGTGTATTTTTGTCCCTTTTTCAATCGTCCACTCCAGGCCCCTGTAACAACCACTGGTCTCCATAGCAACTGGATCCACATAAAACACAGCAGCTGTTCCTTAGAGAACAGCTGACAGAGGAAGAGGAGTCGCTGCCTGGTACCGATGAAGATTATTCGATGATTTAATGCCTCAATGATCTAAATTAAATTCTAAGTGAATATTCGTGATCAGGTCGTGTTCCGAAAAACAATGTTTCATATTCAAGTATTTTAGTTCTTTGTAGAGTTATGATACAACCACAGCTCGCGGTCAGCTCGTGGTCAGCTCGTGGCGTTGAAATGTTTCCATATAGTTCAGAAGGTGCAGGAAAATATAAAGTGGACTTTCAACGCACACAAATCAATAGATGTTGATTCTGTTAAATATTGTTTAACGGGCAGAAAAAATATTTCTAACCATTTTCCCTTTGACTGTTGATCTCGTCGTCATGGTGACACAGTTTCTTCTCTCTCTCTTACAATCATCCTCAGAATTCTTAAATAAAAGTTCCTTTAAAACAAAGAAGCAGCGTTTCAACTATTTCATCTCAGTTGTCCAATATTCCCCTTTGTGGATCTGTGTTTCTCATCACAGCTCAGATTTGTCAGAGTCGTGTGATTCCAGGATTATTCAGATTATTCTTATTATTATTTCTCTCACTTGGAGATAAAAACAGAAAACCTCGAGATCTGAGGCGTCACAGTTTGAACTGACGTCATTTCAAAGTTTGGCTGAACTTTTCAACTCAAAGAGGAAAGATGAAAATATTTTAATATAAAATGTTGGAATTTGATTTTTTTAAAACTCAAATATCACTAAAAATATATTTTTTTAAACTCAAAATATTTTACACAATATCCCAACAGTTGTAAAAAATTATTGAGTAAAAACTGAAATAACTGATTTATTACAAATTGACCTTCTCTTACTGTAATTTGAATTTTTCCACATTTTTCTTGTGGATGCGAAGTCGTATCGATAAAATATTTTTATAATAACTTAAACTTCGCTCATATAATTATTTTTCCTCTTTATATAATTTTCTCTGATGACATCACTTTCTTCTATATCTTATTTTATTCTGGATAAATTATTTTGATGTTTCTGTCGTGTCGCACTGCGATGTGTGACGTCATGCTAACCCCGCCCCCTCACTCTCTTGCAGGTTGTGTTTTACCAGAAACTCTTTGATGGTTGGCTGATTGTCTAGCCCCGCCCACTGCTCCTCAAGCTGCTGCAAAAGCTCCTCCCACTGCCGCTTGTCTCGTCCCGTCTGCCATAAAAGCCGAACCACCGCCCTCAGCAACGGTAACAGGAGGGGGTGTGGCCTGTCCATTTGTGGGAGGGGTGCAGCATTCTGTGGGATGGGCTTGTCCTGTGCGTCAGTTTGAGGGTCGGCGGGCGTCAGGACACGGAGGGCGTGGTCACAGTGATCCCCGGCCTCCTCCAGCTGGTCCACTTCTTGGAAACAGCACGACAGCCCCACGAGGGTGAAGAACCAATGGGAGGAGGCCGGGGGCAGGGCCTGAGCCTGGGTGTCGTAGTAACTGGCCCAGCCCAGTTTCTGTTGCAGCCTCTTGGCGTTGAGCAGCGGACCCAGCGCCTCCTGGTAACGTCCCACCCTCAACAAAACAAGAACAACTCTGAAACACGTGTATTATCATGCATGAAGAAACAGAAACCCGACGACTGTTTGAAGAAACCATCTCCTCGGAAAGGTCCGACTGAAACTTTACATTTTTATTTATTCTTTAATTTGAAGTGAAGTCATTATTTGACTATTTGACTATTTGACTGTTGTTCTGCATCAGACGTTCCAGCTGGTCGCTGCCCGGCTCAGGGGGCGTTCAGGGACCACAGCTCCACCCGTATGATTTCATCTGTCCCTCAGCCTGGAACACGTCTGCAGCTTGTTACTGATTTTACTCGTCTGTCCTGAGCTGCTCATCGTCCAGTGTGTTACTGACACTGTCGACTCATTCATCGGGTTTATTGAAACCAGGAGAAGATTTCTGATCAAGTCAGCGTCAGACAGGAAGCGCAGGTACAAGGAGTAGAGTTACATTATGATGTTTCAGGTGTGAGATACCTGATGAGCAGCTGTCCAGCATGCAGGTCGGTCAGGTAGAAGAACTGTCGCACACAGAGCGCCCCCCGCAGGACGGGCAGTGAACACAGGTGAGACAGATACTGTTCAAAGGCCCGGCTGCGTCTGGCGATCGTCTCGGCCGTGAAGTTCCTCCGCAGCTTCTTACCTGTTGCGATCACAACAGGGGGTCAGGTTTCAGCGTTTCAAGAATGATCCTCTGAGGATACAGGAAACAGGAAACACCCCCCCCCCCCACTCTACTCATACAAGGCTTTGTGAAAACTCTGAAGACAAACTCCAACGTTACTTACGTGGAAAACACACACGATCCATCAGGTCTGAATGATTTCGCCTCAGTGTGGCATGAAGGCGCTGAAAGTCGGAGTAGCGGCGGGTGATGACAGCAGGCGTCTTGTCGCTGCCGCCGGTCTGGATCACGTGGACGGTGTAGAGCTGGAGACGGAAACAGACCGAGTGCAACAACAACGTGACTCACAACCAGCTGCTGGAGAGACGAGAGCCGTCCTGACCTCCGCTGTTTGTTTGTACTCACCACGTATTTTGCGGAGCCGTCCTGCATCACACTGGCGTCGGTGACCTCAAACAACAAGTTGTCCATCAGCCGTCGTCCAGAGGGGACGGGACTTCCTCCTTCGAGTCCGCACAGGCTCCTCCAGCTCTCCTGAAGCTGCCGTGTCAGCAGGGAGGAGGGGGAGGGGCCGACAGGTGACGCACCGACAGGACTGGCATCTGTGAAGGTTGAACCCAGAGTCAGTTGTCTGGTATCTGAGGGACACCTGAAGTTCTTCAAACGTGGGGGGGGCCACCTCACCTGTGCTGCTGAGCCCCTCCTCCATCGACTCTCCCAGGAAGTCGGAGTCACTGTCCAGCCCCTCGCCACTTTCTTCCACTCCTCCTCCTCCTGCGCTATCGAAGGACAGAGTCCCCCCCAGGCGATCAGTCACGCACTCCTCCTCCTCCGCCAGTTCCGCCTCCCACCGGTCCTCATCAAACTCCTCCACCTCCTGTGTGTCTCCTGCTTCCTGTTCCGTTACCTCCCAGTGAACATCTTTGAACAGCGACCGCTTCAGACGATCCAGCAGCCGGGACGCCATGAGGCCACGTGGTAGGAGGAGCCTGCAGCAGCTGCAGAAGCATGAAGAGACGTTTTACAGTTTCTGTTGCATGAATTCACGTTGATCAGGTGATTCATCATCTCACAGCTGATTCATCATCTCACAGCTGATTGGTTTGGAGCCGGTTGATTTATCAGACTTATCAGAATCAGTGTTTGTTTGCTGATATGAAAACTAATATTTTACAGAATAAAAAGATTTGGAGAAAATGTATAAATCATAAATAACAAGTCTAACAATGTCAAGGACGAAAGAAACGGAAATATTGAAGGAATAACTTGGGACTAGTGATGAGAGTATTTATTGTTAACATGTGAGAGCAGGTCAGCAGGAGGAGGGAGGAGGTGCAACAGGAGGAGGGAGGAGCTGCAGCAGGAGGAGGGAGGAGGTGCAGCAGGAGGAGGGAGGAGNTGCAGCAGGAGGAGGGAGGAGGTGCAGCAGGAGGAGGGAGGAGGTGCAGCAGGGTGATACAAAGAGGTCAGAGGTTACATGTGGTTGGAGATTCCCCTGTCACCCGTAATGAGGGAGGAGTTTGGATGAAGGGAGGTTTTATATATATATATATCTTAAATCCTGGGGCCTCATTTATAAAACAGTGCGTATACTAAAAGTGAACGTGCGCAAAAAAGATTCAGATTTCTCAAACCGTGCTGTTCCACCCACACCTGAAGGCAAACATTCAAAAGTCCGCACATTCTCCCGTCAACTTTGTTTTTATGGATCCCAACGTTTGCGTGAGAAGTAGCGTACGGTTGTGAACGAGGTGTGTTCGCTTCAACTATTTAGCTGCTTTAAAAAAAAAACAAAAGAAAGAATTGAGACGTGCACAACTCAAATGATTGAGTGAGGGCCTCACCGTCCGGCCGCAAGTGTAACGTCCGTGGAAAGTCGGGAGAAATCGATGTGTGAACAAAGCAGGGGACCTCACGGACAAAAGACTTTTGTCTGAGACCATGTGGACGAACATGTCCAGTGGGTCTGAATCTATTTTACTCATTTTAAAATACTAAAACACTATAACCGAGTAAATGTGAAGTTCCATGAAAACATTTAAAGTTAAGTTTTGTTTCAGACGGATGAATAAATTGATCATTATATCTCAATGATAAAAAGCCAAACGCTGAGTGTTTGCTGCTTCCAGCTTCGTCAATGTGAATATTTTATGGATTTTTAAAGACAAACAACATCTCTGGAATATTAATAAAAACTAATAATTACTATTAATTAACTAATCCTTGACTGCAACGCAAACTAATGTTTAAAATAATGGAATCCTTGGTTCAAGCTCTAACAGAATCCAGGTCAGTGAAACCAAGCCGGTCACGTTCCACAGACTCTGATCTACATCTGAAACAGTCGGACTGAGTTGGCTCCTGTTGCGGAGCCGACGGCCTCTGAATGGAAATCATGTCACTCATCAATAATGCAGCGGTTTGCAAAGTCAGCCTGACGCCAGGAAAACACAGACGAGCGCTGCAGCCGGTTGGGCCTCACCAGGATCCAGCCGTCACAGCTAGTTTCAACACACCGAGGTTCTGAGCTGATCAACGAGTGGAAAGTTCAGCTGAGTTACTTTCCTCTGCAGCTCTTGAGACTAAATCTGAGTCTGAACTGGAAAAGTGTTTAAAAAGTACAGAGTAATACTTTGTCCTGGTTTTTACATGTTGATCAGCTCCACACTGAAATAAGGACAAAACTTTCTGCTCCTCAAATCCTCCTGCGACGAACGTCGGCACGTAACGTCTGACAAGATGGTAACACACAGAATCCCCAATTTAAATATACATAATACATATAATACATATTTACATAAAACCAGTACCAAAACTACATATACAGTATATGTACAATACTTACACACCAACTCATCCTGCATAAATACTAACACACCACCTCCTCATTGGTTTTACCCTCCTGGTCTTTGGCCCGAGCACCCTGAGAGAAAGGTGAGCGGACCGAGCTCAGTGACACGGTCCGATGCTTCACCAACATTTCACCACAGCCTCCGTCTCTGACTGCAGAGCTGCAGGATTCAAACTACAACTACAAATATTATTATTATATATATATATATATATAATATATAATGAATTGTTATATCTGAATCGTTGCTGCCTTCATTAATAACTTCTTTACATCGTTATCTCTCTTATTGTTTTCATTATAACAACCAGAGCTGAAACCTGAATTTCTTTAATTTTCCTGGCAGTCTTTCATTTTTCACTTTTTCACTCTTCCCTCTCTCTCTCTCTCTCTCTCTCTCTCTCCTCTCTCTCCTCTCTTCATCTGTTGAACTGTTTCTCCACAGTTTGAAAAGTCTCGATCTCTGTGGAGAATCTCGAGTTGCAGTAAATCGTGATTTGACGCTGTGCAAATAGAATTAAACACTAATACGAATAATCACGTCACCGAGTCTGAACGCAGTGGAACTGATCTGAATCTGGAGTCACGTCTCCTCGCGTTTCTCCGGAGGCTTCAACCGAAGCATGAAGCGAACCGAACCGTTCATCGCGAACCGAGTTCTGCACCGAACCGTGGATCGGAATCATCGACACAGACAAACCGGGTTTGTTGTCCGTGAAGCTGCCGCGGAGCTAAATGCTAAATGCTAACACAGGTAGAGAAGGAGGTTCATTAAACTTCATCATCGTGAATGTTGCACCGGTCACCGCGCACACTGGCCCCCGGGCTGCGGACACCGCCCCCGGGCTGGAAAGTGTCTCTCGCGGCTCCGGTTCGTCCACCTCCACACGGTGACTCAGAAGTTCTGACCCGCAGAATGTCACCTCACAGCCGGGGAGGGACTGTCCCGGGAGACGGAGCGGAGCTAACAGCTAAACCCGCTTCAGGGAAAGTTAGCGACGAGCTAACAAGTTTGTTGTTGAGGTGAGTTCAACGTGTCGGATCTTCTGACCGCAGACACACACTCACCCGCGGGCTTCAGGGGGTCCCCGCCCCGGTTAATCCATCTCAGGTCCGCGGGACTGAAGGCAGGAGCTCCGGGGAGGAACCTGGAGGCGGCTCCGTCCAGATGGAGGTTAGTGGGTCCGCTCACAGCTCACTGTTTCCGGACTGTTCTCACTGTCCGCCCGCTGCTGGACACTGCACCGACACTCACTCAACACCAGGGGGCGACACATGGCCTAGATAGAGAGAGAGAGGGATGGATAGAGAGAGAGAGAGAGAGAGAGATAGAGAAGAGAGAGAGAGATAGATAGATAGATAGATAGATAGATAGATAGATAGAGAGAGAGAGAGAGAGAGAGAGATGGATGAACAGAATTATTCCCTATTTTCCTTCACAGTGCTGCACC